TACTTTTCCTCAAAGTTGGATAGTTTAACTATTATGTGCCTTGGTGATTTCTTCTTGGGATTCAGTCTAGCTGGTGTTCTTTCAGCCTCCTGAATGGTTGCCTGGTTTTCATTCATTAAGCTGGGGAAGTTTTCCTCCAAGAATTATCTCACTATTGTTGCAAATGACTTCTTTTCTGTGTCTTCCTCAAGTAAGCCAACAATTCTAACGTTGTTCTGCTTCATAGCATTAGACATAGCTCTTAGGTTTTCTTCAGCTTCTCTAATGATCTTATTAGATTTTTGTTCATGTTTATTAAAGTCTGATTGGCTCTCCTCCAAGTCATTGATGCGGTTCTCTGCTTCCTCCAGTCGATTCTCGAGGTCTGTGTTTCTGCTACTGGTTTTTATCTCCTCCCCAAGCTCCTCTATTTCCCTTTGGTGTATGGCCTTTATCTCCTCTATCATTGGATCCTTTTTCTCTATTGTTTCCTTCATATCCTGTATGACTCCAAGCAGCATTCTGAAAACTTCTTTCTGTGGCAGCTCAATGTCTGCTTCTTCCATGCATGTTTTTATGTTCGGGACATCTTTTGCCATTGCCTTTTGTTTCTCCTGTTTTTTCATTGAGGTCGTTGGGGCTGATGGCTGTTTGTGTTGTGTTGTTTTAGAGGAGCCAGGTGCCATTTTTCAGGGAGTCGAAGATCACTGGTTCGCTCTGTGAGACTTGTAGGAATGCTTCTTCGAATTGCCTACAGCTAATTTTGCTATGGAATTAACCTACCTATTTATCCTCCATGCATAAGTAACCGGATGGTGAGAGTGACATTTAATCCACCTTCAATCATACTGGTGTCCTTGTCCAGCCATGTTCTGGGGAGCTGGACTTTAAGCAGTCAAGTCTTTGGTCACTGCAGGCACGAGGCGACTGAGGGGGGAAAGGGGATTGGGCAGGAAGGGGAAGGCTGGGAGACTGGGGACGGAACAATAGGGGTGGGCGGGAAGACGAGGGGGGCCTTGTGGGCGGGCAGAGGAGGAAGGGAGTTTGAGGAGGAAGGGGGGGATGGAAGAGGAAGAAGGGGGAAAGAGACCCCGGGGTGGCAGAGGGCACAGGTGGCAGCTGTTCCAGCTGCTGCCTCTGCTGGTCTGAAAAAAATTATTTTGATGGTGGTGGTGGTTTATCTCTTCGTGGATTCAGCATTCAAATTACACTATTTGAGTCCAGTTTTTGACTTCTAATACTTTTATGGGCTAATAGACAATATCACGTTACCAAGAATTTTCTTTTGTTTGAGCCCACAATCAACACTCGTGGAAACAACAGTCAAGAAATCAAATGATATTTGCCCTGGGAAAATCGACATAAGAACTCTTTAACGTGTTAAGGAGAAAAGATGCCACTTTGAATACAATACCAACACAAATCTTGGTATCTTAATTGGTCATATGTGCATGTGAATGTTAGACAGTGAATAAAGAAGACTGGAGCACAATTGATGCCTTTGAATTATGGTGTTGGTAAAAAATATTGAAAATACCCTGGACTGCCAGTAGAACAAAAAAATCTGTCTTGGAAGAACAGCCAGAATGCTTCTTAGAAGTGAGCATGGTAGGACTTTGGACATATTATCAGGAGAGACCAGTCCTTGAAAAAAGATATCATGGTTGGTAAAGTAGAGGGTCAGTGCAAAGAGATGGATTGAAACAGTGGCTGCAAAAAAATGGGTTCAAACATAACAACAGTTGTGAGGCTGGTATAGGACTGGACAGTATTTTGTTCTGTTGTACATAGGGCCACTCAAAGGTACCTAATACTAACAAACAGCAGTCTGTTGAATTGGTTTGTCTAATGAGTGCCTATAACACAGTGTTTTATTATGATGTTTTATGAGGTCATCTGACAGTTCTAATCCCCACTCTTACCCAAGTCCACTCCTCCTCTAGTAGCTTTTGTTTTCCACTTCAGTTTCATATTATTCTTTTTGCTACACCTCACTTAAGAGACAAATGCCCCAACCTCCTTGTTCTCTGGAGGGAGCATTCTAGGATGCCTAGGTTTTTATCAGCGGTAGGGAAGATTGTATTGTGAAATGGGTGAATTGGAGTCAGGATGAACTGACTTGATGGAAATGGATTTGGGTTGTATTTGATTCTCCTAATTTCCAGCAGTCAGAAATAATAAGTATCCTATTTGAGATGAAAAAGCTAACAAGTCTCTCTCTGACTAATAATTACATATGTAAAAAGCATTCTTCATTGGTTAAAAAACAATTAAGTCGGGGTACAAACTGATAGAGCAGAGATGGCGGCGGCCTTGAGGGTGGCGGTGGCTGGGACAAAGCTGTACAGCCTAGTGAGCAATCTTGGGAGCCAAGCAGCGCGAGGCGCCGCGGCACGCAGTCTTTGTAGCCAGCCCGTCCGGGTCCCCGTCCCTGTCTCCGAGCGCATCGAGAACAAACGCCTGGCCGCGCACCTGGGCGGGGGCCAACACCGCATAGACGCGCAGCACAAGCGGGGGAAGCTAACAGCCAGAGAGCGAGTCCGCCTCCTGCTGGACCCTGGCAGCTTTGTTGAAAGCGACATGTTTGTGGAACACAAATGTGCAGACTTTGGAATGGCTGCTGATAAGAATAAGTTTCCTGGAGACAGTGTGGTCACTGGACGGGGCCGAATCAATGGAAGATTGGTTTATGTCTTCAGTCAGGACTTCACAGTGTTTGGAGGAAGTCTATCAGGAGTGCATGCCCAAAAGATCTGCAAAATCATGGACCAGGCCTTGACAGTGGGGGCTCCGGTGATTGGACTGAATGACTCTGGAGGAGCACGGATCCAGGAAGGGGTGGAGTCCTTGGCTGGCTATGCAGACATCTTTCTGAGGAATGTCCTGGCATCCGGAGTCATCCCACAGATTTCTCTGATCATGGGCCCGTGCGCTGGTGGGGCTGTCTACTCCCCTGCCCTAACAGACTTCACGTTCATGGTAAAGGACACTTCATACCTGTTCATTACTGGCCTTGATGTTGTGAAGTCTGTCACAAATGAGAATGTTACCCAGGAAGAGCTTGGTGGTGCCAAGACCCACACCACGCTGTCAGGTGTGGCCCACAAAGCTTTTGAAAATGATGTTGATGCCCTATGCAACCTACGGGAATTCTTCAACTACCTGCCGCTCAGCAATCAGGACCCAGCTACCGTCCGTGAGTGCCATGACCCCAGTGATCGTCTGATTCCGGAGCTTGACACGATCGTCCCTTTGGAGTCCACTAAAGCCTATGACATGGAGGACATCATACGCTCTGTTGTTGATGAGCGAGAATTTTTTGAGATCATGCCCGGTTATGCAAAGAACATCATTGTCGGTTTTGCAAGAATGAAAGGAAGGACTGTTGGGGTAGTTGGCAACCAGCCCAAGGTGGCCTCAGGGTGCTTGGACATTAATTCGTCTGTGAAAGGGGCTCATTTTGTCCGGTTCTGTGATGCATTCAACATTCCACTTATCACTTTTGTTGATGTCCCTGGATTTCTGCCTGGCACAGCACAGGAATATGGGGGCATCATCAGGCATGGTGCCAAGCTACTCTACGCATTTGCTGAAGCAACTGTCCCCAAGGTCACAATCATCACCAGGAAGGCCTATGGAGGTGCCAATGATGTCATGAGCTCCAAACACCTGTGTGGTGACACCAACTATGCCTGGCCCACAGCAGAGATTGCCGTCATGGGAGCAAAGGGTGCTGTGGAAATCATCTTTAAAGGGCACGAGAATGCGGAGGCTGCTCAGGCAGAATACATCGAGAAGTTTGCCAACCCTTTTCCGGCAGCAGTGAGAGGGTTTGTCGATGATATTATCCAACCCTCCTCCACCCGGGTGCGGATCTGCAGTGACTTAGATGTCTTGGCCAGCAAGAAGGTGCAACGTCCTTGGAGGAAACATGCAAATATTCCACTGTGAACACTCTTAAGAAAATGAATGTGGAATAAATTACTGCCTGCCCATTTATGCTCCATTCCTACCTTTTGCAATCATGAACCTGGGAATCTAAATACCAGTGAAAACTTGAAATGACTAAATTTATTAAATTCTAGAAAGGTCGCTTTTGTACCTTACTGTAAAATCATGTACTTTATTAAAAAATGTAATTGATCCTTTAAAAAAACAACAACAATTAAGTCAAATATAAGTCAGCAACAAAAGCCTGTATCAAGTTTCTCTCAAGAACTGTCAGAAACATTCACATAACTGTAACCAAAGTTGCTGACCATGCAGTTGCATAAACTCAGGGGACAAAATAATATTTCCCTATTTGCTTTAACGGAGATGTTCAGCCTTCCGTTTTCTACATATAACATGAAAAAGTTTAGACTCTGCTCTCTTACTAAAAGAGTAAATACGTCCTTCTTTGATATCTAGTAAAACTTACCATCTTGCCAGCTATGTTTCTTTCTTTGGTGAGTTAGCTTCTTTAATCCTTTCTCTTTAGCTTTGCATTATTTGTAGATTCTTTGTCACCGTTTGTTGTCAAAGAAGCCCTAGTCATGCTGTATTTTAGCTGTGGGGCTGCTAATGGCAAGGTTGCTAGTATAAACTCACTAGCCACTTGGTGTGAGAAAGGAGCTGTTGGCTCCTTAGAGATCTACAGTCTCCGAATTCTACACAGGATGCCTTAGTATGGACCAAAATGGACTTGATGGCAGAGGTCTTGTTTTTTTTGGAATTGTTTTATTTGATTAGACATTGTGTATACTTAACCTATGAACTTTTTTTTTTTTAAGTTAAACATTGTGGTAACTTTTTTCAAGTTAACAATTACCTAAATTCTGCAGAGTAATCAAAAAAATAAAACACGAGATACATCAGAATTTGATTAAACAGGTTACTTTTTTACTATAACATGGTATAAAAGCTTGATTTTCTCCAAACATACCACTCTTTGTAAAAAATTTCAAGTAAATTGAAATTTTACAAGAGATTTCAGTAAAAAAAAAATGGAATGGTTTAAACTTGCAGGTTTTGTTATTTGCTTGCTCTTTTTGAGCGAATCCTTAACACTGCCCACAAACCCTCAGGATGCCGGTAAGAAATTTTCTTGTATATTAGCTAATAATGTCTACATTTGGAATCATTTTACATTTGAAAAAAATGTGTTTGCTTTCAATGAATTCTTTATTTCCTTTGCCCCCTTCCATTTAGTTTATTTCAAAGGAACTTTCCAAGGATTATTTGTGTCTTACTGGTCATGTTAGTCGCTATGACCACCTTACTAGTGTGTGACCCAATGTGTATGACTGCTGGTAACACTGGGAAATAGACAAGTTGAAACTGTGGATTTTTCTGAATCCTGTGGTTGTATCTCTCAACCAGATGGCAAACACCTTAAGAGTATGGAGGACCTACTTTCTTCCTCTTCCTCTTCCTCTTCTTCTTCTTTAAATTTAAAAACAGTAGCCTTTTTTAATGTGATGGAAATGTGCACATCAAAAGATTTGCCAGCACAAAAACATCCACCTTTACAATCAGTGCTATTGATCAATCACATTTTTCATGTTGTGGCTCTGTTATCTTTTTTTTTTTTTTTCTTTCGGGATCCAATGCCTTTACTGGGGAATTCTCTTTTTAAAAAAAATCATTTATTGGGGCTCATACAACTCTTATCACAATCCACACATGCATCAATTGTGTGAAACACACTTAATACATCCGTTGCCCTCTTCCTCTTATTTTTAAAAGATCATTTGTTTGGGGGATCTCACAGCTTTTATAATGATCCATACATCAATTGTATCAAATATATTTGTACATATGTTGCCACCACCATTTTTTAAACATTTACTTTCTATTTGAGCCCTTGGTATCAGCTCCTCTTTTTTCCCGTATTCTTCCACCTTCCCAGCCTTGTGAACCCTTGATAAATGATAAATGATTACCATTTTCATATCTTACAACAACCTCTGTCTCCCTTCACTGACCTTACTGTTGTTCGCCCCCCTCGGGTGGTGGTGGGGCTTATGCATTGTGACCGGTTCCCCCTTCCCCCCCCTTCCCCCCTGACCTCTTGGTATTCCTACTCCATTTATGTTCCTGAGGCATTTATCTGACCTGGATTCCATATGTTGTGAGCTCTTATCTGTTCCAGTGTACATGCTGCAGTTTAGCCAGACCTGAAAGGTAGGACTGGGGTCATGATAGTGGGGGGTGAGGAAGCCTCAAAGAACCAGAGGAATATTGTGTGTTCATCGATGCTATACTGCAACCTGGTTGACCCATCCCTTCCTTGTGACCCTTCTGTGAGGGGATGTCCTATTGTCTACAGATATGTTTTGGGTCTCTCCCCCGTTCTCAACAATATGTTTTTCTGTTTTGGGTCTTCTGATGCCTATTACCAGATCCTTTCAATACCTCATGATCAGGCTGGTGTGCTTCTTCCATGTGGGCCTGCTGCTTCTCTGCTAGATGGCCGCTTGTTTAACTTCAAGTCTTTAAGACCCCAGACCCTATATCATTTAATAGTCGGGCACCATCAGCTTTCTTCACCACATTTACTTATGCATCCATTTTGTCTTCAGTGATCCTGCAGGGAAGGTGAGCATCACAGAATGCCAGGTTATTAGAACAACATATTCTTGCATTGAAGGAGGGCTTGAGCAGAGGCCCACAGGCTGCTCACTACCTCAATATATTGCCATATAAATATATGTACATAGGCTGATATATCTATTTTTATGAATTAATATATTTACATATTTATACACTTATGTTTATACCTCTATCCAGAGGTTTGCTTCCTAGATCTTTCCTCTGTTTCCTTTTATCTTCCTCCTGCCCCATCATCACACTCACCCTTCTTCTGCCTCCCAGTATTTCCTCTCAGTGATATTGCTGTTGCTCCTACATCATTAGGATGTCTATGTCTTCCTTGTTGTTGATTTTAATTCCCTAGTTGTTCCTCTGTCTATGGCATTGCTTCCTCACCTCTCCCTTATCCCACATCCTCTTCCCAAGTCCTCTAGAACTGTTGGTCCCATTGCTTTCTTCTCAAGCTTGCTTCCCTTGCCTGTCTTATATAGGTAGGCAAAACAAGAATAATGGAGACAAAGCGAAAACAAAAGATAGAAGAAAAAGAGAAAACAAAAATAAGTAAAAAAAAGAAAATGCATACACAATTTCAGGTCTTTCCGCTGACCTTTATGATTATCTCTCCATGGGTCCTGGGGGGTTCTGGGAACTGCCCCTCTTAGCCTGAAGTCTACTTTTGGGGCTCATCAGGGGCTTTGTGGCTTTGCTTTTCTCCCATTGCTGATCTGTTATGTTCCCTTCTTGGTTTGCCCCACTGTGAGGGGTCAGACTGGACTCACTCCCCACCATATGTCCGTAGTATTGTCCTCTATTACTGTATGCTCCAGGGAGGGGACATCATGACTTGAGTTGTTGTTGGCTCTACAGTCCTCTCTGTGCCTTAGCAACTCCATGCAGGGATTTCATCCTAAAGGCTTGGTGTGTCCATCACTGTCTCTTTTTCTTTCTTGGTTTGCTTCCATGTAGGCGTGGCAGGCCAGCCCTCTCCCCAACCTGTAGGTTTTGTGTTGTCCTCTGTAGCACATACTTCTAGGGAGGGGGTCAGTTTGCTACTTTCTTCTTTGGCTGTACTTTTTATGTAGCCTGATTGAGGCAGTATCAGGCTGGAAGAAAAGGCAATTTTTATATTTTTTCCACTGAGAGAGAACATTTATTTTATTTATTTATTTATTTTTTAACATTTTATTAGGGGCTCATACAACTGTTATCCCAATCCATACAC